GCAGAAACTGAAAATACATATGCCAAAAGAAATTTTTTCCATAAAGAATAGTGGTAAAGAATGAATGTAAAGGATTTCTGTCATTACAACATATACTAGCCTATACTTATGCATCCTTAATGTATAATAGAGAGCACATTTAAATGGATAGAGTCAGTAGTGGAATTGAAAAAAAAAATAGTGTTGGGTTTGGTGGAGGAAAATGCAGCCATTACAAAAGCAAATGAGGTTTGTCTCCATAGAGTGATGATAGTTGTAAATGTGGGATTCGATTCTCCTAGCACCATCAGAGTGGAAATTCCTAGAACTTCCCTTAGGATTTTCTTTACTTTAAAGAAACTTTACTATGTCAAACATTTGCAATGCACTCGTTCTCCCACTAGAATTGGTAGAGTCCCTAAACCTAAAAGAGTTAAAATAACGAAGGTAAACTATGAAGCATAGATGAGCATAAACAAAAAGAAATGAAAATTTAGTGACTGATGCAAACAAATAACCTTCTGCAGCACTAAGCAGAGAGGCCACCTCCTATAGGAGTGGCCTATGAGGATTCCTAGCGCTGTGGTCTGCACCTAGGTCCATAATTTACCTAACTTGCCTCACATAATTTAGATAGATCCATAATTTATCTAAGATGCATAAATTGAGATTTTTGCTGGAATTACATGGAATGTATTAACTATACAATCCACTCCATCCAATCTCATTTTCATGCTCATTGTATTCAGGTTAAAGTTGTTAACTTTTCTAAGAGAGATGGAAAATATGAAAGTGATGGCAAAAGCAGGAGAAGAAACAGAAGTTAAAGTCCCTTTTCTGAAGCAGGAATGGGAAGGAGTGAGTTCCTGGACCCCTAGCATTCTCTGGGTCCAAGCTCCCTGGTTTGGGTCAGTTAACATGACAACAATTTATCAAGAAGTACCTGGGATCTCTGTCAGCACTCTAGAAGACCTAGGCATCTGTAAGACCCATAATTGCCCCCCCTCCCTGGATATTTAAGCTACAAGGTAAAATTGAGCCCAACGGTAGCAGAGCTCTAAGTAGCCTTGGTTCCAGAAGGTAGACCCCTTGAATTCCCAATGGCAAGATGTGCAAGTTTGCCCAGGATATATCCTTAACTTCATAATAACAGACCTTGCATCTTCCTTAATAAGTTTTCAAGTTTTTGCACTAGTGTATGTTGTGGATTTATTTTATGCCTCATGAGCTAGCATATCTTCCTTTTATCTATTGCACAAATCTAGGACATCGCAGTTGACTAAGATGACTAAGCCACAGTGAATCTTAACCTATGTGAAAATTGGAAAAGCATTCTAAATGCTTTTGAAAAATGCCCCAGTACAATGTATTATACTTAAGAATTTTATTACAAATTTTCCTGGAATCTTGAAGGGCTCAACACTCTCTAGAAGACTCCCTTATTTTTATATATATTTTTATTGATTTTAGAGAGGAAGGGAGAGGGAGATAGAAACATTAATGATGAGAGAGAATCATTGGTTGGCTGCTTCCTACATGCCCACCCCCCACACACACACACACACACATCCTCGCTGCCTAGGGATTGAGCCTGCAACCTGAGTATGTGTCCTGACCAGGAATTGGACCATGTCTTCCTGGTTTATAGCTCGATGCTCAACCACTAAGACATTGTGGCTGGGCAACTCCCTTATTTTTAAAATACTCTTGTCTATGTTCTTGTTTTGTTTTTTTTCTTCTCCAGTTTCTTCTAAAGTTCAGTCTAGATGGAGTTAAATGGTAAAGCTTCAAGGTTTAAGGCTCAGTACATTTGGAGATTAAATCTGGTACATTAGATATTATCGTGATTAGATTTTTCACTTTGCAACTAGAGTGTAAACACTTATAGTATGGAAAACCATATCTTATACCATTTGTATATATACCCATATACCCACTGAATGTAGTGTTTGGGTGGCTAGTGCTTTCTTTATGATTTAACTAGAGGCCCAGTGCACGAATTCATGCACGGGTGGGGTCCCTCAGCCTGGCCAGAGATTGGGGCCGATCAGGGCTATCTCACCCAGTCCTGATCGGGGTGAACAGGGCCGGCTGGCTCGGGGGAGGGACCACAGGAGGTTGTCCAGCCACAGGAGGTTGGCTGCATTGAACATCTGCACCCTGGTGGCTACTGGCCAGTTGTCCAGTCGTAATGGTCACTTAGGCTTTTCGTCACTAGAAGTCCAATGCGCTATCCATTGCGCCACAGAGCCCGCTATTTAGGCTTTTATATATATAGATAGGTGGTAAAAACATTCATTGGTAATTGAACTTTAAATCTCTGCTCACCCCAGAGAGTAAAAAATACAACGAAATGTAAAACATAGCTTCCATCCTCAGTTCTCTCAACTTTTACTGAATTGAATTTTCCTTTCTAAAGATGATGAACATATTTAGTGTCTTATCATTTTTATTGATTTGGTCTCTTGATTTGCAACTCCTGGGCACTTAATATTGACTTACTAACTGGAAAATCTTCTTCTTCTATTTAAATTATGCCCCTCCTCCTCATTCAAGTTTTTTAAACTCTACAAAGTCTCTCCTGACAGCTCTATCTATAGAGTCCCTTCTTTCTCTGACCTTGTTCTTATTTGCTGTCATATCACTTAATGAGGTGTCCTTGTATCTTTACTTAACCTTTATTATTAGGGAAGTTAAAAATACTTGTCACTCAAAGGATCTGAATAGGCATTTTTCCAAGGAAGACATACAGATGGCCAACAGGCATATGAAAATATGTAAAACACCACTAATTATTAGGAAAATGCAAGTCAAAACCACAATAACATATCACCTCACATCTGTTAGGATGGCTATGATAAAAAAGACAATAAATAACAAGTGTTGGACAGGATGTGGAGAAAGAGGAACCCTTGTATACTGTTGGTGGAATTATAAATGGGTACAACTACTATGAAAAAACAGTAAGGAGGTTCATTAAAAAATTAAATATAAAACTAACAAATGATCTAGCAATTCCTCTTCTGGGTATTTATTTAAAAATATGAGAACAAATTTAAAAAATATATGAGAACACTAAATATATATATGTATATATATATTCATTGAAGCATTATTAACAATAGCAAGATATGCAAAAAAACGAAGTATCCATCAACATAAAAGAAACTGTGGCATACAGCGAGAGAGAGAGAGAGAGAGAGAGAGAGAGACTACACAGCAATAAAAAATCAAATAATTAGGGAATACAGTTAATAATGTTGTAATAACTAGGTATGGGTACTTGACTTATCAAGGGATCAGTTTGTAAGTTTTATAAATGTCTAACTACTGTAGTATGTGGATGGATCTCGAAGGTATAATGCTGAGTGAAATAAGTCAGATGGAAAAGGACAAAAAACATGATCTCATTTATATGTATAATATAAAACAAAAAAGTAGCAAATGAAATAATAAAACCAACCACATAGATACAGACAACAGAATGCTGGTTAGCAGAGAGGAAAGGGTTTTGGGGAGGATGACTGGACAAAACAGATCAAATGTATGCTAACAAAAGGAAACAACTTTTGGTGGTGAGCATGCAGTAGAGTCCACAGATATTGAATTATAATGTTGTACACCTAGAATTTATATAATGTTATTAACCGATATTACCTCAATAAAACAAAAGTAATAATGGCCATGGAGTTAACTTCTGATACCTCTGTATATTCCCAGCACTTCTTGTTCTCCTTCTTCTGGCAACAGACCCTCCTCTCAAGGCAACAGAGTGGGCATATAACACAAGTTAGTCCAGCTCAAGTCCTTCCCTGAAGGTAGGGTCAAATTCTATCTGAGCCATCTTATAGTTAGAATGCAAGTGAGGACTTGGTCCAGCCAGGTCACCCAACATAAGTAAAAACCTGTCTGAACAAAAAAGCTGATTCCCCCAAAAAGAGACAAGACAAAAGACCTAGCAAGCCCTGAGAGTTTCTAAGTCCCTGGATCCAGTTGTCCCTGAGCAAGTTTCCTCCCAAACATTCCCATGGTTTGGTTATATCAGTCAATAAATTTGGGTTCTTTTTGTTTTGTTAAGTTGTAGACTAATTTGAGTTTGTCACTTGCAGTCTTGACAAATCGATTATAGATCCCTTGAGGAAGTCATACCTTTCTGGGTTTAGTTTTACTGTTTTTGGTCATCCCATTGCACCTAGCACCCTGCAAAGAATAGAAACTCAATCAGTAGTTGTCAAACTAATAAGTATTTGTTTCTATTAAAATTCATAAATATTATATAAGACCCTACAAGTATTAATAAAATTATTATGTGAACGAAATCATGAGCAAGAGTCTCAAGAAATACTAATACTTTGGTTAAGTCACCTGTTTTCAGGAACAAAATGCACATATTTAAACAGGTTGCAAATATATCCTTGTCATTAACAGGCCATTACCTCTGTAAACCATTATTCAAATGCTTTATACCTTCTCACAGTGGAAAATGCTTAATATAAATATGTTCAGATGTTGATTTTTTTCTTTCCATGTTAATGTACTGACAATTGTATAACAAAGTGTACATATGTATATATATATACATGTATATATACTTATACACACACATACATACATACACACACTGTGTGTGTGTGTGTGTGTGTGTGTGTGTGTGTGTGTGTATTGCTTTAACCACCTTCTTGAAAAGTTTATTTATTGCATTTAGAAAACCTGGGGTGTAAATATAACCAAGTAGAAGTTTGCTCCACAGTTTCTTTTACAGGCCCCTTTCCATGAATTCTATGTGCAACTTGTTCATGAATATGGAAAGTATCTGAAGATTTTCTTTTAACTTGTCTTGATTTCCTTGAAGACTCTGGCACACAGCATGAGATTAAAATAACCTGGCCTTGCTGGCCACTTTGCCCACAAATACCAAGGAATAAATATTAGAATGATGGATTCTCTTTCCCTTGTCAACCATGAATGTGTTCCAGCCAAGGGCAAGGTCTAGAGAGTAATTCAAAAATAAACAAATAGAACCAAAGAGTAACTTTATTCTTTTATTCAAAGTTTATTAAAATACAAGGACAAATTGTAGAAGCACACATACCACTCAGCACCAATATAATAACACTCTTTCTACTGATAGTCTCCAAAGCATTTCTGTTTCTGCAACCAAGAAGCAGAGATACACACATGCATTCTCACCACATTTACCCAGTACTCATAGCATCATGCCCCGAATATTCTCCTTGCTGGGAAGACAAAGATGAGCAGAAGCAAACGAATGTGACTACATCCAACCACTAACTGAGTCGATGACTCTTTGGTCAGTAGTTATCATTCGCACACTGGTAGCCTCCACACATCCCAATCTCCCTCTTCGGGGGCCCGATTATTTGGGCTAGTGATGGAGTCTGGTGATAATGTGATGCAAAAATAAAGAAAACTGGCCAACATTCCCTACCCAATATCTTATCATGGCTTTGGTTGTATAATACTAGATACTCATGTTTCCACATCCTCCAATTCTAACACACATGAAAACCACACCCACCAGTGACATGGTCTGGAGAAGTCTTGAGAGAATTTTATTTATTTCCCAACACCTTCTGTGGGTTTCTTTCATTTATGTGTTTACCTGTTTGTGTTTTTAGGGGGGTAGGAGGAGTTTTGAGCCAAAATTATGACTTCATTAAACATTGCTTAGGTCTTCAAAGTCTCCTCAATAAATATTAAATAAACTCCCTGGAGCTCTGGTGCTGCTGCCCAATACAGGCAGCAAGCCCTGACTTGCATGAACAGTCTTGTTTGGATATCTGTACATGTTTGCTTTCTTGGTTTAGACTCACTGTGGAATAAAACTGGGTCTCTTAAGACTGAGGCCTTGCTTCTGGTGCTATCCAGAATGTAAGGCATTAGGAAATGGCCCTTTGGCTCATCCTAAAGTCACTCAGGCCTCCTCCAAAGGTGTGAAGTTTCTTTTAGAATTTTCCCAAATATGTAGACCAAGGTCTTCCCACCTAACCACTTCCTGACTCTCCCAGGCCCTGCCCCCTTCTTTCCTAGAGGACCTCAGGATACTATCAAGAGAGTGCTGATCACCAAGCAGAGGTTGGTACTTGTGCTCCATTCTAGAAATGCATATCAAGACTGGGTTTAGCTTCTATTTTAAAAATAAAGGAAGAAGTAAGGAGGAGGTTTGAATATAACAAAAAACACTTTAGCTCTGATTTTTGGCAATATCTTTTTTGTTTGTTTTTAAAGCTCCTAGAATTAAAAGGCTCATTGCTATTCTCAACTGTTGAGAGATCTGACATTGGACATTGGGCATGTTCTGAAAAGCTCTAAATGCCAGTAAAAAGGTTTTCATAGACTCTTCAATAGGACAGACGTCAGTGTTCACATTTTTCTCTTTGCAATGGCCATGTGATTCTAATTGAGCTTATTTTTCAAACTATCAGTCTGAGTTCAGGTGAAATAAATGCCCAACTTGATCCTCTTAGGATTTACAGAATGGGAAGTCCTGTACAACAATACATTCCTCGTTATGGACATAGCCCATAGGACATGCTGAGGCTACCTTGCATCCATCTGAGTATTTCCTCAAAGGCCTAGATATTGTCTTTCACCTGCCTCTCTGGTATTTTATGTAGCCAGGCAGTCCTCATGCGTGACCTCACCTTATTCCCTAATTTTTATTCAAGAGCCCAACTAGTGAAATACACTCAAGCAAAATGAAAGGCAGCAGTCTTTTCTTTTCTCCATGGTCATAGAATAGGCATTTCTGATTAGTGGAAGGATTTAACTAAATCAATATGCCACTTAGAAGTTGATATTACCAAAAATCAGGGGTACATTCTATAAACAAGGTGAAGACATAGGACCAGAGATACAAAACATAAATATAAAAAGTCAGATAAGTTAAATGACAGTCACTTTAGCTACACAAAGCAAGAACAGAGGTTCTAATTTGTTTCTAAGGAGGTCAGTTACATTTTAATGTCTGTATCAAACATGTCTACTTTACTGTGCAGGCATTTTATTCATGCCCAATTAAGAAAGTCATTGTTGATTCCACTAATATTTTCAAATATAAAATAAAAAAAATAAAGTAAGTTTTGAATAGTTCCAAGACATAAGTCTTTCAAACACTACCTGTCTGAGAGAATCCAGAAGCTATGACAATATCTAAAATTGCTCAGAAACTATTTCAATAACAGACAAGCTAATTCAGTTTAAGAGGCTAAACTGATAGCTCCATGTAAACACAGGGGGAAAAGATGCTTAGTTGCTAAGAAGAACAACTCAAAGTTTTTCATATAAAATTTTAAATATATAAAAGTTTTGCCTTGTGAAAATAAGAACTACAGTTTTTCAAAGGAACATACTTTATAAAAGACAGGATTGGTGGGGTGGGTATTGACAATCTAATAATTTCTCTGAGCATGTCAGCTAAGCATCGATTCCCCTCTACCTCAAACTATGAGTTCTCGTTAAGTTCATAAAAGATACATCACAGGAAATCATAAAAGTTTATGTTGAGATAAATAGGTTACATAATTAAAGACTTATCATAATTCTGATAACACCAAGCCATTCTATATATCGTAGGATTCCTGAGCTTTGTCAATTCATTTTCTCCATTGGCCCCCAACAGTCTTTCTTCCAGTGACTCTTCTATGTTCTATCGAACATATCTTTTTCCCTGATATTCAGCCTATGCCTTTGTATGTCTATTTCCACTGCTTCATTTCTCCATTGGATGATCCTCAGCCAGAGGAATTGCACGCACACAACTTTCTCTTTCTTTAAAAATGTATCACAACTGGGTGATTTTTTTTATCACCCTTTCCCCAGACAACTAGCACTAACTGCCTTCACTGAATCTCATCCCCCTACCAGCTTCTCTAACATCCTGTTCCATTATTGTACATATAGAACAAAGGGGAAAGTTTAAGGAAACAGGGTGGGTGTGCTGCAACCAACTGATCTTTTATGTGCCACAGAAATCTCAACACCATTTTGAAGATAAAAATCAATGGGGCCCACTGATAAGCCTTGAGTTATAGAGTTTAACTATTTAACTCTGAAATAATCCATTTTCAATGTGATTTTTCAGAAATTTGTTAGTGTCACATTGTCAAAATCTGCTTTGTTTCTTTGTAGGTGTACTTTGTAGAATTTAAAATACTGAGAAGCTTAAATGTTGTTGTATAAAGAGTCAGTTAAAATGGCCCTTTAATATCTAAACAATAAACTGACCAGTGATATGATTACTATATTACTCCAATCTAAAAATAAAAATAGATTTCTGGTTTTTGCAAACTCAGTTTCCACATCTTTTTCATTTCAGGAAACTAGTTCAGAAAGTTATTTTCAACTTTAGATATCTTTTTATATTAATTTTATTTTATGATTCAATTATTAATGGAATGGTCATAAGAACCTTTGATTTTACATATAAATAAAAACATATACTGTGTTTGATAGTGTCCTTAAATTTATGATAGAAAATTTGTAGGTCTATTACTTATGTTACTTATAGATAAAACTATCATGTCTTCATTTTAAAGAGATGTATATACCATAAATAACTTTATATTAACGTACTATAATGGCCTTAGATTACTAGACCTTAGCTAATAGAAACAAAGGAAGATCCAAGTCCAAATTTAAATGTCAATGGGAATTCCATTTTACCAAATTCCATACTACTGAGGATTGCCATCAAATTCCCTTTGATGGGAATTATCTCAAACTAATTTTCTCTTCCTCTATTTTGCAACTGAAGAAACCATGCTTTTTTGTACTGGTCATTCATTATAGCTCACCTACTTTGAAAGAAAAACAGTGCTGTAGTTGAATGGGTAAGACACCTACCTCCCACAGCATCTGAGAATGAATGTGTATACATATTTTGAGCCAAAAAGCTCAGCATTGATTAAACACTTCTATAGAGATCAAGACGAATAGGGCCAGGCAGGGGGTATGGGGTGGGGCCGGGCTAGCAGGGGTCAATGGGGAGAAAAGGGGACATATGCAAAACTTTCAACAATAAATATTTTAAAACAAAGAATGAGTAGGGCCACATCACAATTGTAGAGATGGAGTGGGACAGATCAGTACTACTGGATCCATTGGTTTTACCTCTCAATGGTGTGGGGTGCAATTCACCCACTGAAAATATACGCACCACAAATACATTTCAAAAAGTAATTATTTTTTAAAAAACAACCTCAGAAATGCAAATATTAGAGTGTGTTTTTCCCTTTCAATTCCCCTTTCTCCCTTAATCTAGGAGTATACTATGATAAATACATTGATTCCCTACGTATATTCTCTATGCTACTTTTAGTTGAGCTACTTCTTTTTCTGGTCTTGTGTATATTTTCATGTTTCTGTGGATAAAAAATTACTCTCAAGGTGAAACTCTATGATGCTTCCTAATCCTTCTGCCTCCTTTTCCTAGCTAGTCAACTTGATTTTCTTCACCTGCCTTGAAAGTAACTCTCAGGTTTTAGATGATCATTCTAACCCTCCAGGTAGGAATCATTCCTGATATCTACAAAAACACCTGTGAGCTCTGGGATGTTTAGACTGGTATAGAGCATTACATGGCTAGAAACTAGAATATCAGAAACTAACATTTAAACACCAAGGTCCTAACCACCTGGCCTGGGTTCAAGGCACCATTGTAAATAAATATTTAAGAATTTTTTAGTTGAGCTCTATCCATGCTGAATAAAGCCTAGGCAATAAATACCCCTTATACTAACGAGAACGGTAGCTTCTTCCTTAACATGGTCGTTATTCAGGTGAGTCTTTTCTTCAGGTCCCAAAGCATGCATCAGCTGTCGCAAACAGGGTTTCTTCCTCTCCATCTTGGGATCTTTACAATCAGAAAAATTTTAAAGTTTCTTTTAGAAAGAGAAGTGATGGGGCTACTATTTAGCCAAATGCTATTTTGGGTGTTGAAAGAAGCAATGAGATGATAGAGGTTTATGTTCTTCTGAGATGTAAATTCCTGTCTTTCAGTGAGGCAATGAGATTCAGTGGAGGCAATGAGATTCAGCTGAACTAGTGGATTCAGTTCTTCACTTCCTTTCATATATATATATGGCGCTCCATTACAATCATACCTTTAACTAGTTAATCTAGATTTCATCTCTTGTTGAAATTCTTCTCCAGCCAATGCCGGACTTCTTGGAGGTTGTAGAAGAAGGGACCCTTTCCTCCCAGATAAGCAATTTTCTGTCTCTGCACAATACACACACGTTCAAAGGCTACCCCATAGGCTACATTGGCATTATTGTCCATGCGGTCAGCCACAACTCGGCACTGGGGCGGCAAGGAGAAACGCTCCAGAAGCCGGTGGGCAGCTGCGCATCGGTCTTCCTGGTTCCTGTGCTTCTTCACCTCAAAAGACAAAGAAGAATCCCCAGGCACCGCCCAACCATCTGAAGGATGAGCCTCATCAATGTAGACCAACAGGAAGTCAGCCACTGATGAGAACTCCTCTATCAGTTTGCTGAAGGCTGGCAGCTGGTTAGTAAAAGGAGGTCAAGTGGCTGAGCCGAAGTTGACCACCAGTGGGCGCTCAGGGCAGGCAAAGTCAAGAAGGTGGCACTCGGCTCCAGCAATTATCTTCTCCTGGGCACCATTTTCATTGTCGTCACCTCCTTCAGGATTGGAGACGTGCACCACACTGGAATTGGGGGCATCTTCACCCAATTTCACCTGGTTGTGAAAAAAGAAAGAGGAAGAGCATACCACATTAAACACATTGTCACTTCAATTCACTCTATATGAAAACAAGTGGCTCTAATAAAATGTGGTGAACATATATTGATTTGAGTAAAGAGGCATCGTGGCAGGTAACGTAAAGAATGGCCCCACAGAGAATAAAAGTCTTTTTCATTCTGTGTAATCACTGAAGGTAATTATTTTTATCATTGAAGGCACTGCAGTTAACGCTCTTCATAATTAAGTTGAGGCTGGTATTCTTCACTATTCTTACTTTGCTGTCAATGCTTAGCACACATTATATAACAAATGATTAATTGACTTCATTTAAAAAGTTAAATGGTCTACTCTAAGACAAATTATCAGAGTCGTGGAACATAGTACCTCTTTCTGAATTCCCCCTTCTAAGTTCTAAAGTACAAAAAAAAAAGACCTTTACTTTCTTGCATGATGCTAAGTCATTTATTCTCATTCAATGGACAATGATACCAATGGGCTCTATTCTTGGCCAGAGCTAGAAAATGTGGGGTCCACCATTTATAATAAGAAGCTAGTCCCACTTAGCCTCTTCAGCACTTCAATATTCCCACCTGTAAAATGGTGATAATGATGCCTGTCTTCCTCATATGGTTATAGAAGGATAACATAAGGAAAATAGCTCTTTGTACATGATAACTCACTGTGTGGATATAGGCTGCCATTATTAGATGCCATCAAAATATGTAAAACAGAATGCCGCCTTTCCCGGGCAATTCTATGTTTAAAAATATTTTTCCCCCCAGAAGTAATTTGAGCTCTCATCAGCACGACATCCTTCCTATAGCTACTGCCTACTTTGGGCTCTTATGACTAGAACCTCATTATTTTCATTAAACAAACAAACAGACAAAAACATTAAACTATTCCAGAATTCTACTTGTAATTTCTCATTTTTTTGTGTTTTGTTTTGTTTTTTGGTCTATTTCCCTCTTTTTATCTAGGAAGTCACAAATCATTTACTTGTCTATCATCCATTTTATCAACAAACTCCTCTGAATTATAAAATACACAGGCAGAAGAGATCTAGAAGAAAATTGTTCCAGGTGCCCTCTTTGCATGTGGTTTAAATAGTTGAACACAGACTGAAAGAAAGTTTGCTGGCCTTTGGGTCTGTAAATTGATAATAAAAAACAGGCAACATAAAAGAGCCAATTACTTCAGTTTGAATGAACACAATTGGATCTTCCCTTAGAATGGTTTAATCAAAGCCAATAACATCAGGGACAACTTATGAAAGTACAATTGATTTTATACACCATTCTTAATATTACAGAACACTTCCAACTAGATCGACTTATTCTCCTCATATAAATACAGCCACATACAAAACTGCTGTTAATTGAAGTCATTTAGAAGTGAATTGTTAAAGATTCAACAATCCAGACTGATATAAAACACTCAAGGGCTTTTATTCAGAAGCTTCTATCTAATGTTAATGCATAACTCATTTTCACTGTAGAGAAAGAATTAAAGAAGTCCCGTCTCTCCCTTCTGAAAAATCTTAGCAGGGCAGGTTTAAAACAAGTACTGGTACTTTTCTAAAAGAAATCTTAAAATAATACTCTGCTTCTTAAAAAAGCAGGCTGTTGGTATGATTTCAACAGGTATATTTGCTTTTCAATCACTATCAGGGAAAATGTTATTTTATTTATATTAATCTTCTTGGTTAATCTACAAGTGACACTAGATAAAGAAAATAATCCCCTTAGATGGATTATTTCATTTACTTATTGTTCTTTATATTTTACTCTTCTATTAAATTTATTTGGGTGAAATTGGTTAATAAAATTACATAAGTTTCAGGTATACAATTCTATAATACATCATCTGTATATTGTATTATGTCCACCACTCCAAGTCATCTCTTTCTATCACCATCTATCCCCTCTTTACCCACATCTACCTCCCCTCAACCCCCCTTTCGCTGTGGTAACCACTATACTGTTGTCTTTGTCTATGAGGTTTTTTGTTTGTTTGTTTTTTGCTTAATCCACTCACCTTTTTCACCCAGCCTCAAACCTCCCTCCCTGCTGACAGCTGTCAGTGTTTTCTGAGTCTGTTTCTATGTTGTTTGTTTATCTTGTTCATTAGATTCCACATATGAGTGAAATCATACAATCATACGGTACTTGTCTTTCTATGACTGGTTTATTATTTTATATAAGCCACACTTGTCTCTGAGGTATTAAAATATACTTAAAAGGTAAAGATATACATTTTAAAGATATTACAAACCTATCATCTATGAGTTCTTTTTGTAATTCTTTGTAGATTTAGGTGGTAGGTAGCATTACCATTGCCTTACCATTAGATCTGTTCCACTTAAGATAGCAGTAACAATTCTAGCATGGCTGTTTTTAACCATATTGTTGGGCTGTGTTCCTCAATATACTTATACAACCAAGATCTGAATGCATTCAATCAGTCTGAATCCACTAGCTCTTGTACTTTATGTTAACTGAGCAATCCATACACAGGAAAAAAATCATGTCTGGACTATAGACTTGTAGGTTCTTAGTAGGTGAAAACATCCATCTGCCTTTTGGAGTCATTTTTAAGACCAACCAACAAGTGTGTGGTCTTGTTAAGTGGGCCTCCGATGCCCACGGCTCTCATCCAAGCAGCACTGTTGATCCTTGCATTATTCCTGACTATTCAACTGAATAATCTAATCTGATGCTTCAGTCACAGGTGCCTCTCTTATTACCTGTAGTTAATTTTCTTGGAAAGTTAAAGCACTTTCTCTTCCTTTTTAGTGACAAAGTATAAGTCAGCCACATAATTCTTTCCAAAATACAGCCATACTAATTTACTTTAGAAAATTTAGAACAAATACAACACTTTCATTCTAAAATTAAGAGTTAAGAAAGTTACCAAATACATAATGTTCTTTGTGTGTGAGGATTTGACGTTTTGTTAAGCCGGGATGTGTGTGTGTGTGTGTGTGTGTGTGTGTGTGTGTGTGTGTGTGTATAGAATGAATTATTGAATGAATGATAGTTGTTCTCATCCTATGTAGGGGTCAGTGAAGAATTTTACACTTAATATAACCTTGACCTGCAATCAATATAACCATAGTTGGGTGATGAATGAGCTAACTGAGATAGATAATTTAGAAATGTAAACCTACTGTAGAGTACCACCATCATCAATACCTAATGCTGTTGCTCTGTTCTGGATTACCTCAGCTGGTTACTGTATAAAATGAAAGTCAATCCTCTTTATTTTGTTGAGCATCTATGACCCTATTGCAGATTAGCATGTAATAAGCAGATATCCTGCTCATGAGAATGACCAGGTAAGAGAAATGCATAGGTGAGATCAATGTTATTAATACTAGTAGGGGAAAACACACACCCATGATTTGTAAGTCCAAATGTGAGTAGACCAGTAGTCTGCTTTTATAAGTATCATATACTAATCATACAATTTGTCCATATTGGCTAAAAACCTACTGATGGAGGATAATTTAGCAATAATAAAGAAAAAATAGAAATTTAAAATAATAAAGTTTGCATTTAACTGCAAAGAAAATCTTTTACAAGGACATTATTGTTCCTTTCTCATTGTCCCATTTGGTCACCATGAAAATTAAATTCCTATTATGACCAGAGTTCCAAATGGAGAATTTCTTGGTTTGCTTGGCTATGCACCCTGCTGAGATGGAATGGGAGAATCACCACTGTCTTCAATGGTGGAAGATTCTTTGCTTTCCCCAGGAGCAAAGCATTCCTTGACAAAGAGCCAAAATGATGAAGAAAATAAAGCTGATTCCATAATAATAACATTTAGGCTGCAGGAAAGAAGCTCAACAAAAACAAGTTATCCCTGATACTCCCAAACTTTGTTTTAATTTCCCACAGTGGCACAGAAAGTCTCCTGGCCACAAGTTACCTATCATCTTAATTTCTCCTTCTTAGAGGGTTTGTGTTTGGTTTTTGTCCTTAATGAGACATATTTGCCAAAGAGGCATTCAAAAGGCATTTTTTACTCTTGCGGAAGAGTAATTAGGTCGGTACCTCTTTCCCTGCCAGCATTAGCGGCTCTGAAGAGAACCCTGCCCAGTATTTAATGCCCAAACACAAGAAGCATCATTTCCACTAATTGGTCTTGAAGTTCCGATGTTCCCAAAGGGTCCCTTTATTTTGCAACAATCAGAAAGGACGTACGTACGTAAAATGCAGTATCGTCATCACTGACTTTTATCTCTCTCATCTACACTATTAAAATGGTCCTTTCTTACATCTTTGTAATCAACGTCAACACAACATCACCAACACTGGAGGTACATTAAGGGTTTGCATTTTTATGACAGGGAGCGTCTCTGGGCCAAGCTCAAATGTTGCGAGAGCCATGTTTATAAATATGAGCAAGAGTGTAGCTACATGGCATGTTTATAAATCTGATTCCCTTGATGACGGGGTTCCTTTCACTCACAGTGTTCAGTGCACGGGGTGGGGGGGGGGCGATGCTGCTTGAACATGTGGACTGTGAAAGGAACAAAGAAAGGACCATTCGTCAATTAGAAGCTGGAAACTGAGCATATACTACTAACTTTTTTTTTCTTTTCCACTGGAAAAAATATCACCTAATCTCATGATAGAAAGTAAAGCAAGTGATAAATATGGAAGGGGGCGGGTAGCAGAATAGTTTTTCCACATCCATCTTGCTGTTCAAAGTCCAGGAATGGCTTCATTCACTACCAGGAAATTTCCAATTCTTTGACATAATGACCAGGCTACATCAATGTCCTTACGAACATAGCCAAACAATTATTAAGCAGCGGTTTAACCATTTACATTCAAATTGGCCAAATAAATCAGAGTCGGAGAATAAACTACCTACTCTTTCCTCTGAATTCAGTTCACTTCTGGCCATTTTCTTTTGGATTCCTACCTTGAAACACAGCTCTGAGCTTTATCAGTTCCCACTGTTTTATCCAAGTGATGAACAAGCTCTGGCTGTGGCCTTCTTTGTGTTCTTTGGAGAATGTTTCTCTCTTAAAAGAGCCATTTTCCATGGTAGAAACTAGTGTCAAAAGGCTTGAGGTGAATGAGGAGGAGGAGGAGATGTTAAAGAGACCTTTTCAAAACCAAAATTATATGTTCAAATGAATATGTTTTCTGTACCACTGCCATATTAACCGTGAGGAAGCTAAACTGCTTCTCGGCATCTATACTGTGTGTTTACTTTTACACTTCATTTAGGTAGGGGCTAGCTCCCAGACAGGGCAGTTTGCTCATTGGTTGCATTTTTAGTCTTTGAGCATCAGCAGAAGGATGCAGTGTTAAAAGCAATGACACTGACAAAGGAAATTTAAATGACAAATATCTGTTATTCACCTCAATCTATAAGTTTTTGTAGACTTGCCTTTTCATAAAAGCAATGCCTGGAACACCCTCTAACCAAACCCAAATTATCTTTGCAAGCTTCCCTACAAAGTTAATTTCAAATCCCATTGAACATGTTCATGAAGAAGGGGCTTTTGTTGTTGTTTATTTGTTTTATTTTGTTCTGTTTTAACTTCTGTGTTGCCTTGTGTAACAGCCAAGCCCAAGGATAACACTTTCATTTCACTTTCTCTTAAAATATCCCCATGTATCTGACTTTCAACAACAGGGAGAATTAGAAATGACATGTTTCATCGTATCTCATATGCACACACTCATCCTGGAAAACTCTGCTTCTGGGGTGGCACTCTCAAAATAGTGCAAGTCAGGGTTGTGAAATACTGTGATGCTATCTCAAACAGTACCTCCTCCAGTGTGTCCCTAGAAATGGCTACACCCAGAGATGGTGGCACAGAAGACAACAGTATTCAGGAAAGAGATTCTGAGTGAACTTCAAATGCCACCACCAGCACCACCACCCCTGCCTTACTGGGTGGCAGAAGGAGACCTAAGTTCAGTGCAAGTTGGGTTTGCCATGTTTCCATTCATTACACACCCAGTCCAGTCTTGTCTCTGGATAGGCGGGTTCTTGGGTTGTTTCTTCTCATGGTGTTAGCTATTATATAAATCATTAAAAGCAAACTTAATAACATCAGTCATGAACTTGGTCACTAATCAAATCAGTAGGCAGAAACAATACAGGAGAGGAATGTACAAGCCATAGGCAAAAAAAAAAAAGAAAGAAAAGTAAAAGAAAACAAATCACTCATCCTTCTCAATTTCCTGGAATAGGAATAACAAAATATTGCAACACAATGGAACACTATACATTAATGAAAAAAATAAATAATAAAGTCTATTACAGAGGTATTTGTTTGTTTTTCTCTCTTAATTTTAATAAGTTGCTTAATAGGAAAACAACCTCGCTTAATATTTGTGGGCAACCTCACAGCCCCTATATTTTATGTGAAAGATGTTTACATAAGTATACACTCATATTAGTAAAATTCTCCCAGGCAGTGACTTTTCTTTTCTAGGCATAAGTCAATTCTCTTTCAAAAAAGTAAGAATCTAATATGCTGAGATTAAACCACTGACATTGCCATGTTATCTCCTAAGACCTACAAATACAAAAACATAAACATCTCACATTCAATGTATACACTTGTGGAAATGAAATGATCCCCTCATACTTAACATATCTCCCATTGGCCCCACATACACAATATACATGAGTTTTCCTGTTAGAACTTTGAGCATCATTTCATATAATTATAAAAGAAATTTTCCTGATTGATAAGAGTTCTAACTATTCTCCTGTCTTTAGAAAAAATGAAAACCTTCTGCAGGTTTCTCTCAATATCAAAGGCATGTGTTATAGTAAAACTTCCCTAATGCACAGTGGATATTTTCTTCCTGAACACTTGTTTGATTTTCAATGGAACAACCCTACTCTGGATTCTTTGTGACTAGAAATTACTTCTTTTCCTTTCCAGGGGCATAGGTTTAGTTTTCTAGTGCTTATTATGGAGGTCTCATTCCCTTCCTCCTCTTTTATTCTGAATTTTATTCTGGTTCTGGGTGCTGCCTGCTTAAGGTGCACCACTTCATTGGCTTCCATATTCCTCCCAAACTCCCCTTCCCTGGCAACTTGGACAAGATCCCCCAATACTGTGAGGGAAAACCAAGACTGCTTTGATAGCAACTTTTGCCAAGTAGGTCTATTCTTCTTGCTCAGGGACCTTCAGGAGTTATATGGGCACAGGGGAGAAGGGACAAATTGACTCATGAGAAACTGTTCCACTTTGTTCCTAAAATGAGTTGAAGATCCTCTGGGCATAAAAAATAAAAATTAAAAAAGGCCAAAATGACAGCATTCTTCACTGAGAAACAAAGGTCTCAACTCTGGCTTTGAGAGAGCAGCCCCTGGGACCTGACTTCCTCAGGTAAGTGAGGTTGCTGCTCCAGTGATCAAGGCATGCCTTAGAACAGCTTTGAAACTGAATGAACCGTAGACGCATCTGCTCTTTCTAAGACAACTTATTTCACTTCTGAGAAACAAAGCAAATGTGGTTTATTTTACAAAGTCTGGAGTTCTGACAGCCAGTGCTAAAGATCTTCCTTTTGCAAACTGTTACCTAGTAACTTGGGACACAGGGCCTGATAACCCTTTGAAAAGGGTTCAGATTGGAATCAATATAGAGGATGATGCTGAACATGGGCTCGCTTACATTAACTCTTACCTCTCCCAGAAATTATGCAGATAGTATGCCAAAGCACACCTGCTGTGATCATTCCTGCAGCCTTGTCCTCTCCCTGAGTTTTGGTAGCATGTTCTCGCCACCCCCCGCTACACCCCCCCACCACCACCACTTGCTTTTCACCCATTGAACTGTCTTTCCCAACACAGCTCACCTAGCATCTCATCAAGCAAAACATCGGAACCCCAGTTTATAACAAGAGCATGGGAAATGCAGCAGTTTGCCCTCTCCCAGCATCTTCATACTTTTCCCAAAGTTCTCCTGCCGGCACAAACACCCTCTACTCTGAAATCACAGCAAGCCATTAAATGACCCTTATTACAAAGACTCCTTATTAGGTCACATAGTCAGCGTGGCTTACTACCTGTCAAATCTGACTCCTGTGACAGGTGTAGAAAGTCAAGGAAGGAGCTCACTTGAGCATAACCCCTCGGCCCCCACACAGGCTTCACAATCTCCCCCCAATGCTCCCAGCCGCCTCCAGTCCCACGGCGTGCAGCCCCTGCCCCTGCTGACCCAAGCAGCCCCTTGGCCCGCTCACCTGTTTGTAGGCATCCAGAAGGAAGCTCTTCCAGATGCAGCGCATCCCCTCTGAGGTCAGCATGCGCCTCCACTCCCCGCGAGTGGACTTGGAGCGGCTCAAGAGCAGCACCACGTGCTTGAGGAGAATGACCGAGTCATAGAGCGCCAGGAAGAGGCAGTTGGAGAAGAAAACTGGCAGAATCTGCAATGTGATCAGCAAGTCTACGCTGAGGATGCCCATCTTCCTTGCCTTCCAAGTCAGTTCCTGTGTGCGTTGTGGCTCCCTTTCACCCTCTTACTTAAAAGGGGGTGGCAATAGAGGGGTGGGGGAGGTAAAGGGGAAGGTTAGGGAGGGTGAGCGGGGGAGAGAAGGAGAAAAACTAAATTAAAAGGAAGCCCAAGATCTCTCCTCTTTCAAAGAAGCAGAAGTGGCAAGACCAAGTCCAGTCTCTCCAGCCCAGCAGTTGGAGTGTGCCCATCAATTCATTCAATTCGGAGCTGCTTGCATTTTTTTTTTCAGGATTTAAGATGTTAAAAAAAAAAAAAAACACCTAAAAAAAAATACTGGCGTACCGGTCCCTAATCCAGTTACCCTCTCAGAGTCGGTTAAAGACAGGCAGTTCCACTTTCATTTCCAAGCACCTATGAGACTGTGGCAGAGACAGCAAAATTTTCTGTAGCTTTTCATTGTCTCTATGTTCAGATACGTAGCCAGTTTCTTTCTTGAGTTGCCAGAGTTTTTAAAATGTGCTTTAAGGGTAGGTTTTTTTTTTACTCCCCCCCCTTCTTTACTCCGTTTTACACACACTTTCTGTTCTCCTTCCCCCAGCCTGTCTCACTCTCTCCCTTCCCCTGGAGCGACTGACTCCTCTCCTCTCCTCACTCCCTCTGGCTTTGCTTCTGCTATCTGTGGTGCAAAGTGCTCTCTGCAGCCCAGTGAGTCTCCCTGAAGCCTTTTATACATTCCCTGGCTAATTGCTGCAATAGAGAAATGAAAGCCTAATCTTGGTAAAGATCTTGACGTCATTGAGAAAAAGGGCTTTACTTTGGCCAGGACTGCAGTGAATAGAAAAGCAAAACTCGACAACTTTTTTTTTTTTTTTAGAAGTGGGGGGGTGGGGGTGGGGAGAAGGACAGTGGAATTCTGCTTTGTGATTTAAAGAGAGAGAGAGAACAAAATTAATACCTCTGACGGTTTTTAGGAAATACTTTCAAACCTTGTGGAAAGTAATTTACTACAATGTGTAGATTTGATAAGTTAACACTTTCTGCTCTGATTATTATTATTACTGTTATTATTATTCATTTAGGATAAGGGTTAGAAAGAAGGGATCCTGGAAGACAGAGAAGAGGAAGAAATGGTCACCTTTGCTCTATTTCTTGGAAGATGTGAATGCTTCCATTTGGTCTTTATACTTATATAGTATGACTCTCATCAGATTTGTGACTTAGGTTCCTTAAATATTTTTTGAATCAGGATTTTATTTAACAAAATTCAGAGTGAGTTGTGAGGTGGAAAACTTTTCAACTCTTTGAGTACCACCACAGCATTTCTCTAAAGCTGCTTGCTGAAAATTAATACAAGTATTCTTTTCAGTTTTACCAGTTTCTAATGCCCACCCCCCCCAAAAAAAATATTCCAGACATGAAAGCAAGCTAGGTGACCAGACCTCCTTTTACTTCCATTTTGATTATATACAGATTAAATTAAAACTTTCCATCAAATGGCATTAAGATGCCATAAGGTTGAGAAATAAATTCTTTATAAGAGAACTCGTTGCATTCTGCACTTCCCCTGCTTCTGTTAGCACAACTCCTAAGAGACCTGACACTTTAGGGAATCTATCTTTTTGCTTGAAAAAAACTTTTAAATTAATTTGTGGGTGTTTAGGAGCAGACTTTGAATTGGTTCAAGAGCCACTCTGACCACTCCTCAATGGCCCACCTGCTCCATCAGTCTCCAGCACCGACAGGTATTTAGGCAGACAATTCTTGGGCAGAATGTCATGACCCCACCTCATTCTAGTTTTCCTTCCTCACTTACCTAACAGATCACCTCTAGGAATTACGTTTTCTTGGAAAAAGGAGTGGCAAGTATACACCCTGGAGTGGGGATAGAGAATTTTAATTGAAAATGAATTAGCTGACTTGTCTATGTAGGTAGAGCTCCCATTAAACATGAGCTAAGTAGTGGGGGCTAACCTTCGGTTAGTACATTTCTGTGTTTTATCCCTGTGGCTAAAGTTTGCAAGATCACAGAAATAATTTAAAAGACTGGAGCTGGGTCATTATTTGGTGGGCCCACGGGCCAAATTCTGCATGCAGATGCATTATTTGGTTCGCACGGTGCTTTTTGCCTTTAAAAAAAATAATTGAATGCGAATGCCTTTAGATTCTGTGAGACCAGGTATTCCTGTCTGCTTTGTCCATTGTTGTCTCCCAGTAGTTAGAACCATGCCTGGCACATAGCAAGTTCAAGGAGGATATACTGAGTGGATGAATGGGTAGTGCATGCACTGTTCCACAGTAGGGGGCACCATTCACATACAATATGATATGACTGGGGTGCCCCAGAATTATATATACCCTAGTGGACTTGGATGTGGCCCTCCCCAGTCTCACAACCTTCACCATCTCAATGTCTAAAAAATCTGATTCTTTCATTTTTATCACCAATTTAGTCTGTGATGAGTTTTGAATTTGCATTCCATGGACTAAATGTTTAGAGAAGACTTTCAGAGCTTAGAAAAAAGAATATAAACCACACAGAAAAATATTTTTCCTATGACTAGCATACAATGTTAGCAAAAGAATATTATTCATATATGTAATATACATTTACTCCATTCGCACTCTAATCTTCCACTGTCCTTATGGAAGAAAACAAAAGATGAAGAGAGGGAAGTAACAACATGGTATTTTAACCAGTGTAAACGGGAAAGCTACAGGCCAGAGTCCTAGCCAACAATGACAGGTGTAGACTCAGGAACTGATGCTTCCACTTACTGCCCAAGCCTTAAAGTCTCACCCCTTCTCAGACATTCATGTTGTTCTGTTTGAATTAAACCAGTGCTTCTTTGAGGGAGAGACTTCAGCATCTATAAACTGATTATTCCTCACTTATTGTTTGCTTTCAAAGAGAGAGGTATTTTTGGAAGTGGTAAGCTAAGGATGGGGATCGGTAGAAAATCAGAAAAATACTTTCTTTTTCAATGCAAACTTCAAGGCACACCCAGACTACAAAGTGTTATAAATCAGAATGGTATTTTCCTTCTTTTTTACTTTTTATCCCCCCCTCCCTTTTTTTGAAGTCAGAAGTGTTTGAGGATTAAAAAAAAAATAGAAGAACAGCCCAGCTAGTATATCTCAGTGGTTGAGCATCCCGCCAGGAACCAAGAGACCACCAGTTGGATTCCCAGTCAGGGCACATGCCTGGGTTGTAGGCTCTATCTCCTGTGGGGGGTGTGCAGGAGGCAGCCAATCCATGATGTTTCTCTCTCATTGATGTTTTAATCTCTCTGTCCCTCTTCCTTCCTCTCGCTCCTTAAAATTCAATAAAATATATATTTTTAAAAAATAAATAGAAGAACAAATAGGCACATAGCTAACCTGATTGTGTCATTTCTCAGATTTCTTCTATCATTTTTTACTAAATGAATAAATAAGTGAATCACAAAACTGAGAGTCATTCTTTTACCTATTAAAACAATCCATCCATTCTAGAAATTATACTTCCCTAAAGCTGTTTCTCTTTTTACATTTGGTTCACAGTTGCTTGTTTTAACTAATAGAAATATTTAGCACTTTGATCTTCAAGTAACTCTAAACTCATTAAGTAACAAAAATAACCCATAAAGTGACAGTACAATTTGTCCCATCATGTAGATGAGTGAAAGCAGATCATCAAGGTTGCAGAGTCAGAGCTGGTGCTTGGATATTTTCGCCAACTCTAAACCTCACTTTTTCCCTACATGACTGTTTCGTGGGTCCTGGTCATTACTCTGAGACTCAAAGCGCTTGCCCAAAGTGGTTGTGCTAAGTAATTTTACCTTCTAAACTGCCAAGGATATCTGGGATTTCACATCTGTTTAATATTGACCCAATTCAAGCTCCTCATTTAGATTTCATATGATCATTGGCAAGGCTTGGATATCTTGTTGGTCATGTTAAGTGTTCTTAGTAATCAACAATGCAATGAGTCAAATGCTAACTGATGTGTGGTGTGTTAGTTGAATTTCCACAACAATGTAGTACACAGGTTTTAAATTCCAAAGAGAGGCAGAGGCAGCCCGGGCAAAATGCTCTGGGCTTCTTCTTCTTTTCTTTTCTTTTTTTTAATTGATTTCAGAAAGAGGAAGGGAAAGGGAGAGAGAGAGAAATATCAATGGTGAAGAGAATCATTGATCGGCTGCCTCCTGCACGCCCCCCACTAGGGATGGAGCCCACAACCTGGACATATGCTTTTGACCAGAATTGAACCTGGGACCCTTCAGTCCACAGGCCGAAGCTCTAGCCACTGAGCCAAATGGGCTATGGCACTCTGGGCTTCTTAATAAGTGCTGAATCACTGCAAAATTGTTTAATTTTTTTTCTCGTTCCAATAGTATGAGAGCATCATGTCCTACCATTGCCTCCTTCTGATTGGACAAATAATGTGGATCTGAGTGAAAAGTCTTCCTTTAGTCTACTTTTTGACTCTTAAATTGAGACTGAGAAAATGAAGTTGGATAACTTGAAAGCAGTCTTGGACATTTCAAGGATGGAAGCTACCACTACTATTTCCTTATTGTTTTCTGAAGGATCCAAAGAACATTTTAAAAAAAATTCAGTTAGCCCAGCCAGTGTGGTTCAGTGGTTGAGCATCGACCCATGAACCAGGAGGTTGAGGTTTGATTCCTGGTCAGAGAACATGTCCAGACTGCAGGCTCGATCCCCAGTAGGGGGCATGCAGGAGGCAGCCAATTGATGGTTCTCTATCATTGATGTTTCTCTTTCTCCTTCTCCCTTCCTTTCCTTCTAAAATCAATAAAGCTTATTTTAAAAAATAAAAATAATTCATGCTATGGATTTTCAAGCAGTCTTAGTTTTGTAGAATTTTAGTCCTAAGTCAAGTGATTTGTTCAATTTAATTAAAAAATGAGTTTTATTTTTATTTTATTAAAAACTTGCCAAATAGATTTTAAACCCCCAAAAATGTCTGGTCAGGGTAGGTGTGATGATTTGGGGTTTGGAAAGATGATTGTCAGACATAGCCCCCCAAAGTATGCAGCTCTTGTCACAGAAGGGAATCTCAACCTGGACAACCTCTGTCTGGAGTAACTCCTGGTTGTACCTGAGAGGGAGTTATAATGAAGAGTTTATACCACAACTACTGAATCACTCAAAATTCCCCTTGGGCCCATTCACTATACAAACACAGCCATGTTCCTTGCCTTTGTGATGAAAGGAGAGGCTGAATGGATAAAATTGACAACCCCAGAGTAAACTCTGACACACCCTGGGCAAAGCAACATAGGGCTGGGGCAATGAAGGCGGGCGCTGTGGGAGGTATGAGCCTCTATCCCAACAGCCTTGGTCTGAGGTCCCTTTGCAAGCCCTGGCAGGGAGCACAGTCAGAGGTGTTAACACATTCTTCCCTCAGGAACTGTGGCTGCTCTCTTTCTTCAGGCCACCTACTGGAGGAAAGGAAAAGGAAAAAGACAGGAACAGGAGGAGGAAAGCAGAAGTGACAAGAGGCTGCCAGCAATAGAGCCTATGAATACCAATTATGGCAATGATTTTTGTGAGGAAGACAGCTGTCCAGAAACTGGATGGAAGCCACCACCTCATTTCACAGAGGCCACTGAACAGCTGTTAGGAGACAACAGCCTTCATATGTTAGTGACCTGGTCTAGATCTAAATTGATGGTCAGGCCCC